GTTGCTTTCTTGTGAGTATTGGTGCTCTCTGCTGGAGCAATCTCACCAACACAGATGTGCTGCCTTTGTGCTGACCAGCTAATCTGTCCTGTTCCTCGTTACTGTCGCTTCAGTTGAGGAAACCATGTGATTCAGTTGTTTGCTTGGGTTCTAGTAAACAACACTACTTATGTTTAACAGCTGTTTTTCCCTGCAAGTGGAAATGGAAAGCAAATCTTCTGCTGAGATCTCTGATGTCAGCCATAACCCTAACTCTCATCTGAGAGACACACTGTGTAAATTATGTTTTTTCACTTCATTGAACTTCAAGGCCTCTAAATACATTCTAACTAACCCTAACAAGGGTTAATCTTTATACTGTATAAGGAAAATGCAGAAAGGAAACTGCCTATAGTACCTGTAGATGATATCCCAAAGCCGGAGTCCATCATCCCTGTAGTAGAAGTTTGGCACAGCCTTTAGCCCACGCTCTGCAATGTCGTCTGGTATACAGAGGGAGCTGTATTTCACTGATGACAGTGATCTGTTCAGGATTGGGAGCATAGCCTCTCCCCCGGAGGATGCAAACTAGAGAACAGTCAAATATAAAAGGAATATTAAGACAAACAGCGTTCATGATACTAAAAAGAATAATAACAAAGCATTGTGTAGGTAATCGTCTACCGAGCGTCTTACCTTTGTGAAAACTCCAGTCTCAGATATTAGAAGAAGCCGAGCTAAGTAGTTGATCTGCAGAGTGTAGCGAGTGTGTGGTATGAGGAGCTGAGGGAAAGAGGGAACTCTGTTAGTACCAATGTCACTTGTTGACAAAGCCAGAAATCTTAATGCTTCTCTGCCATTTAGCAGTGTGAAACATTTGAAAATATATTAAAAAAAAAGAATATTATTGTTCATCAAATTCAGTAGATAAATAAATCAGCAAATTGCGGTAAGTTCATGCACTCTACCATTCAGTTACCTTGTACAGCGGATGCACCATGGGCACGTTGCGCAGCAGTGACACCGCAAAAGCTTCGGCCAGCAGGTGAGTGCGCAGCAGGTGAGAGTTGAGTTGATGCTCATTGAAATCCGCGCTTCTCACAAAAATCTTGGCCAGCAACCAGTCGTACTCAGAATCAGTGGGAACAAAGATTGGATTGTCATCTGCTGGAGTCTGCTTCAGCTACAGGGCAAGATAAAGGGTGAAGGTTAATTCACCCCAATATCAGCAGAGAGGATACATACCCAGTGTCTTGCTTGAGGACAGATTTGTCTGCAGTAGATGCTTCATGTTGCAGCGGAGCCGGCATCTCACCTTTCAGTGATAGCCACCTTAATCAATACTCTAATTTACACCTTTAGGATCAGCCACATTTTAGTGCTAATCTCACCTGAATAGCAATTGGCATCAACTTGTCATCAGGTGTTTTGTGGAGCAGGACGAGGGGAGCCATCAGGTAGTGCTTCTTCCCATTGATGATGTTTGATGGAAGTCCATCCAAACGCTTGTAGTCACACAGGAATATGTTGCCTTTCTGTTTGAAATTTTAGTGAAGATAAGAAATTATTTGACCTCCGTACATACAGTGTGGACATTTGCATAGCGAACATGTAAGTGCAATCATGAGGTAAACATTGTTCTATCACTAAGATACAAGGACATTTTTCAGTCGGTGGGAAACAATTACCTTCATTTCATCTGCCAAGCTACACTGACCATGGAGGAAGACCATGTCATCAGTGACAGGAAAGTTACCGGGTAGGACTGTGCAACGTTGGATCAACATGGGGTTGACACCATTTAGAAACTGGTAGGCGAAGAGAGCATCCTCCTTCCAATGTTGCTGGACATAGTCTGGATGAAGAGCAGAGATGAATTTCACTGAGTTTAAAACTTGCTCTGCCACTATCATTATCTTAACTGTACACTGCATGTGAAACAGGGAAATGGGAAGCAATATGTTTCGCAGACTTCAGTGACTCTGGTAAGACTCAGTGTTGTTTATAGTTGTTTCAAAATCAGCTGTGAGTCTTGATTGTTTGCAGTTTACCACAGTTAATAGTTTTCTCATGAGCAAAGCCTAGAATTAGAAGGAAACTTCTCCATGTTTTGACGAACACACATTTCCGTCTCAGTCACATTTTTCTCCATTTAACATGGCAAGTAAAGAAGCCGGTAGACTATTCAGCATTCATCTTATCTTAGCGACAAAAAAATATAAATGTTTTTTAGGTTTTAGCGTAATGGAATACAGTTGAATGTCTGAATGAATGAATACTGTGGAATGAATACTATTATGCATACAGTATCAAGTATTACATTAACCTATCGTGATAGCACGGCACCTGATATGTCCGTCCGTTTGCAGCAGAACACCCGATTGATCGAATCAATATCAGTCCACTTCTCATTGCAATCATCAAGTCCCTTCAGGTTCAGCTCTGTCAACCTAGAAAACAAAAACAGAGTTACTTTATTATGATCCCTTAACTAATTTGATAAGCAGGCAGGTTAGAAGATACATAGATATCTGACACAATTAGAGGACTTTACCCAGCTGATGCAGTGTAGAGAAACTCTGTAGTCTTGGTGAAGGAGAAGCGGACCTCACAAGGCAGAGAAAGAGGGTTGTCTACCTTTATGCAGTGGGGTATTCCCTCTGCGTACACATGCCAGCTAGGAAAAATAGAACAGGGACGGCAATTTTAAATTATAATACGAGCAGAGTCGTGAGGAACTTTCAACAGTCTAGATACCAGTGTATCTGCAGTGCATCTGCAGCCTTAATTTAGAGCATCCAAGCATAATATACATGACAAGTATTCATGTATTCAATATTACAACTTTGCAACATATGTTACAGTGTAATGCATTTTCAGAAACCTTGGCAGGTGCCACAGTGTCATATGGTGGATAATTCATCAGTATATATGTCATGAATATATCCAACCAAAGGTGGGGGAGGTTTGGATGTGTGTTAGCTTTGGGGTGTACAATGCTAAAATTTGTACAAGCTCTGATCTCTCACCGATAGTCCTCCGCTCGCTGGTTCAGCTCCTGCTCTCGAGCGTACTGGCCAAGATTATGGTTGTCTTCAAAGACTTTCAGAGCTTAAAAAAAACAAAAAAAAAACAAGAACCTCAGCAAGGTTTTAAATTGTTGATATATACATATACAGTATGTTGGCATGGATTTGCTCTATAGCGTCCTTATAGTCTCGCTTGCAGAACCTGTCTATCTTGTATGTCTTCTGTAGTCAGTGTACAGCATACAGGATGTCAGACAAGCCAATTTCCACAAACCTTTTCCCTCTCTGAAGCGGTGCACCTCACTGTCAGTGATCCAGCGGTAGATGGGAAAGTGGTAGGTGTCTCCCTCTGGGGATTTCACTTCCACTTTGGCAGGAAACCACGAGTCTTGTGGAAAGAGCAGGAGATGCTTTTTGTCTAGTTCTATCAGAACCAGTTTTCCAAGAGAGGTAGGGCAGGACACAGTAAAAGTAGACACCTGGAGTAATGACAAAAACAGTTTGGAAAAAATGCAAACATGAGATGGAGATAAAGTGGATTTGACAACCAAGAACTGAGCTCTATAATCCAAATAATTAGGATACAATTACTGAATGCAGAAGAGTGGAAAAAACAAAACATGCCCTGAATGTAATATCAATATTGTGAAGCTGAGGCTTTTGGTTACTATGTGGCTGTAGGTTGCAGAGCTGCACATATCCTGTTGCTGCACACATGAGTCTGAGTTGGCAAGGGTTTACATCAGCCCCCTTAAATTGGTATTAAATGTGCCTATAGGCAAAGATGAGAAAGCATGCAGTAAATTTAAACATAGAGAAGGATATTCCCAACTTACTGCTCCTCTGAAGAAGGATGCGGCCCCTTTGAGGCTTAGGAGCCATGTTCGTTCGCTCTCCCCATCTGTGCCCACCAGCTTAATGAAGACATTGCTGAAAGTGGTGGCAGTGGCGAGATTGGTCGTGGATACTGTCACTTCATAATCCACCATTCTCACTCTGGAAAGCTGAAAAATCCTGGTCAGAAAAGAATAATAATAACTGATTGTTAACTGTCACTAGATGAACCTTTAAAATACTGGTATCACAACTGGCACTGGCAAAAGTTATAACAACTAATATTAAATTTGCTTTTTGCCATTGATCTTTTCCAGTCCAATTGTTGCTGGCTTGAATCATCAAATCAAGTATCTGTCTTACCTCTGTTAATGAGATCAAGAAGTTCCTTTGATGGAAATCATCACTGGTTTCTCTTTATATATATTCATTTTTGTGGGAGGGTCCCTACAGAAGCAATGCTGAACTCTAATGGAAGTTGACTGAACTGAAGTAATGGAATGTTGGACATGTATGAACAATTACCTGAAAACCACAGGGTTATGCAAGGCATTGGCTCACTAAATAAACTCAACCCTGTTTTTCACATTTAAATTTGACACCATCACGGTCAACTAGAAATATTAGCTCTGATTGAAATGTTAAAACAGAACTTTCACCAAAACAGTTTATCCAGATTTACCTGATAGTTTTATTATAAACAGCTGTAACATCATAAAAAAAAAATCTATAGCATGAAAAGTACATACTGCAGAATACAGACATAATTCAGTGACTTGTTAACCAGGCAAATGCAAATAAATCACCAAATGCGAAAATCACTGTATTATTTCTATTGTTTCTTACATAAACATTCAATACAATTCCCATGATCAACTGGCTCAGAACAGACAGACTGACACACATCAACAGGCAGCTCAATTCATCAGTGCAAGGTTACTATAGCACATAGCAATTGTTCCTAAAAATAAAAAACTAAAACTGATTCGTTCATTTTTGTTTTGCAAAAGAAAATAATAAAACACTTGTAAGTATATATGGAAATGAAATCAAACTGGGTTACGAAGATAATTATTTCAATGCAGTTTATCATTTTGAGCACAGTTTAATTAGAATGTGTAAGAAAAAAAGTCTAAATACAATGATGACATTGTTTTGTTTTTTTTGTTGCTTTTTTTCTTCACTTCAGCTCAAAATGCAATATACAGTCCATCCTCTCGTCCCTTGTGTTAATGTGAGGCTGAGGAACGGGGTCAGATCTGAGGGGAGGGGACAGTCAGGAGTCCAGTGGGCTTCAGCTTGTTGATCCCTCCGTCCAAGATACAAACCCGTGGGAAATTTACCTTGACCAGATGTGCTGCAAACTGGGAAGAAACAAAGAGGAGAGAAAGACGTTTAATTTTCCTCCCTCCATTGATTTGCAACCTCATACAACTCCAACATTGTTCAACACTGCACTCCTGCAGTTGCTTTACAAAGGAGATTCCATTTTTACGCAAAAACGACCCGTCAGCGATTAGGAAACCTGTTGATGGAGCATGTGTAATGCATTACTTAATGTGTGAGGTGTGTCAGTGCCAGTATATGTGTAAAAGACAAGGAAGTAAATTGAAAATTATAGAGGAAAATGATTTGCATAAAAGAAAAAGCACTTGCACGTCTGGAATGAACATGCCTCCAGGTCATGAAGGGGCTTACTCTCTCTGTCATAAGGACCAAATACTCATCCGTTTTGTGCTCACTGTTGATGAAATAATAACTCAAGACAAGTCTGAGAACACTTTGCAACAACTCATTGGACATTTGGACCTCACTATAGCTGGTGACATCAAGTGTGTGGTTCCACTACAGCAATGTTAGGCAATCTGATTACGAAACCTCTGCATCTAAATGAAAGATTTCATCACAGAGAACAGTTTTTACAAAACCTGAAACTGACAGATGAATGAGATTCAGCTGTGTCATGCAATGTGCAACCACGAGTTGGGACTTAATCTGAGATGCATAGCTTTATTTAAATGTTAGGAAAAAAAATGCCACAAAATTGCCACATATTCTGACTTTCTGTCTGGTAATTTATCTTCATTCACAGTTGGATTAATTCAATATTATCGTTTATCATCAGTGCAATTATTTTTTGATATGGTCATATCATGTCATTGCTTTACAAATTTATGTTGTCCAAATGATTCCAAATAAATAGCGATTAATACAACAAATTACTGAAGCTTTTATTTTAAATACTTGAAGACTTTTGTGTGACATATTGCTTATAATAGAGAAACAAGGTTATGTGGACTGAGCATAGGTTGAATGATTGTTAGAGCTATGCTGGGAAATAACCAAGGTCCTAGCACTCTAAATACCAATAAATGTCATAAAGTGGAATTTTGTGCCACTGTGGGAAGTACAACAAAACAAATGGTGGAGTCATGGAAACAATAAAGTAAATTAATAGGTGAATAACAACAACAACAACTTACATGCAAAAATACTCAAACAGATTCATTCACTCGTTTCATTTCATTTGTGTGTCTACCACAAAGCAACAAAGTGCAGTTTTAAAATTTCAGATTCAATTAGCTGAAATGCTCACGTAAAAAAAAAAAAAAAAAAAAAAAAAAAGCGCATAAAGAATCTGTCTTTCTTCTGAATGCCAATAGGGTTTAAATGTTAAAGGTTTACAGTAAAGCCTGACCACATAGTGAGTGGACTCATTGTTTTGCCCCAGAGCTAATGATAATGCCACTGGTGCGGTGCACAGAAATGTGAATGACATTTAAGCACAATTGAGTCCTTTTGTCGACCTTTAATTTCGTGACCTGTGTGGCTGAAAGGGCTGATGAATTACTGGGCTTTACAATGAAACTCGAATGGGGAATTTCAAGTGCGGGGTTGGTCAGGTGGGGTGTGGGGTTGGAGTGAGGCTGAGGGATATGTGGTCTGGCAAAAACACCACATCTTTAAACCCTTTCCGTTAACGAATTTCAATTGATCATATCATAAGTATGATTAATAGTGATCATACCTAATGCCTATATGATGATGGTGATGATGATGAACAATCATTATACTGATGTCTGTGTAACAACATTTTGTATTTATGCTTCAGTTTGAAGCACATGATAGTTACTGTGCAAAATATCAGAGGCACAAAAGCCACAAAATGTAGTAGACTATGTGCATGTGCTGATTATTACACATGAGCCATTGACAGTTTACAAATAGATAAATTAATACTCCAGTCTCTCTGCAAATGAATTCTTCCATTACTCTGTACCAATTAGTTTTTGGAGCAGTTGCAACCAAGTCAGACAGTGAGATCCTGCTGCTGCTTCCTAAAAAATGCAAGACCCTCTCCTCAATTAAGGAGAACTTATTATTTTTCTCTCTTACTTTCCAACATATGGAAGGAGGACATCTTTTCTAAATTGGGATGTTGCCTGAAGCAACATCCCTGCTGAGTTTTTGAATTTATGTTTGGCTAATTTATTCCAAAGAGAGCACAAAAGGAGAATTTATAATGATCAATACAGTTCTCTGTTCTGTTACGCTGAAGTGAGCAAAGTTATTTTTGTGCTCTGAAATGTCAATGATTTATGTAAAACACAGTTTCAGCCTTGGCTAATGTCCTAGTGTCTTTTAGACAAAGAAAAAAAAAAGTACTACTGTGCATAGGACTAGCTGATCAGGCCAAAAGATCATATGACAATCTTTTTGGGTAGAATCACAATCCACGATCTGAATCATGAGTCTGCCCACAGATTCAGTTGACCTCATCTGATCACATGATTAGTTGTGCATATGGTTGCCTGCATGGACACAAACTGTGTCACTTCAACCCAAGGCTAAAGGCCCAACTCATGAATCTCTGCATCCTCTTTGCGCTACAATTTTATTCTGAAAATCCTGATTAGAGATTTGTATTTTCCCGCCACTCTGGCACTTCTTTCGGATGTTTGTCCGCTTGCTGCAACCCTTTGCCCACAATGCTGTTTTGTTATTTATGTGTGAGGTGCAATATCTAAGTATTTTAATTAGAACATTAAGTCACTGCTAGCCAGCTAGCAGTGACTTAATGAAGCTCATCCCACGTCATGTTTCACTGCCTGCAGGCAGGTTTCTCCTGCGGGTGGACTGCAACTCCATCGTCTTGGGAGTGCAGCTGGAGACGGTTGTTCTTGTTCTGCTCCGGTGGTTAACTTGTATATGTGCTGCTATGCCAAAGTTGCAGAGCAGAGCAAGGACTGCCGTCGCCCAGCTGCAGTTAGCGGGCTAGCTGTTTAGCAATTGACAATGGGTTGGTTAGCAGCGACTGAAGTTTTTAAATTAAATATCTAAGTATAATCCCCTTTAATGACACAATCTATATGTGATTCATCTGAAAATGAGATCATATGCCAACGTAAGATCGTCCAAAGCCATTATTATTTATCCTGAAGAACGTCATGAATGTCCAAAATTATACCAAATGTACCAAATTTCATGGTAATCAATCCAATAGTTGTCAAAACATTTCTGATAACCTCAAATGTCAACCTCATGGTGGAGATAGAGGAAGAGTAAAGGGATCACCAAATTCATGAGGATACATCATCTAGAAAGCGTGAACGCACAAACAAAATTTTGTGCCAGTCCACCAGTTAGATGTTGAAATATTTCACTGAATCAGAGCAGACTTGAATCTGTTTGTGACACTAAATAAAAAGCTGAGCATCATTCATGTGAAAATGTCATGGCAACAGCTCTTGGACTATGAAACACCGTAAGAGTTGTGATAATGATGCTGGTAAGTTATTTCACATGAAAATGTTTCTTTTGGGTGGGGATTAGGATAATTCAAAACAATAACTGCTTTACCAATTCCTGACAGAATGAAATATTTTGTCAAACAGTAGCATGATCGTATTAAACACCTGGTCTTGTGCAGTTCATCTATGCCGCCAGTGTGATCCAGTGGATGATCAGAGGGATTTAAAAGGAAACAATATGACCCTGAGGTCTTCTTTCACTGCCCTCTTATGACCCTGTTGCAGGACACTAACAAGATGTCACATTTCATGAAAAATCTTGGAAAAGAAGAATACAGAGCTAACTTTTTTTTTTTATTTTGGGTTTAAAAATACCCCTGTGTTGTTATCTGTAAGGATTACTTGCTGAGTTACCACATGGTTATTCTGGTTTTCTTTTTAAATGTTGGAACTTTTTTTCTTAATATAAATTTTCATTGGAAATTCAGTGACAGCAGTCATACCCATAATACAAAAAGATGTTTTTCATGTTATTTCTGTGTCCCTTTTTGCCCACCCAATTATTTGATCCACATGTTCTCAGCCACCTGCTGAACAATCATTTTGAACCCTGCAGTAGGGTGACTACCCATCATAAAGAAGTAAATAATAAAATAAAATAATTAAATTAAATAAAACAGAATTTTTTAAAGCATATTTGATAAGTACAGAAATCAGCAGTCAATCTACCGATCCTTTTGTTTTTCATGCTTATCATAGAAAAACTAGCACCCCCGAAACAAGACTACCAGAGTCTATAGCCATACCAGTGGCTCTGTGAGACAGTACTTAGGCACTTTGGTGCTTTGAGATGACTGCAACATGCTCAGAATGATAATGCTATCTGGGATCTGGGAACCATGAATCTCCATTGAAAATTTCATGGCAATCCAATAGTTGTTGAGATATTTCATTATGAACCAACAGACTATGAACCAAGACACTGCCATCCCCAAGGCACTGCCACTAGCAAGTCTAAAAATGTAACAGTAAACTGGGGGAGAATTTAGGGATTTAGATGTGCCACAGGGGGGTTTAAACAGCAGTTTAAGTGGATTCCAGTTGGAATGAAATATTTAGGTATTGGGCTGCGTATCACTTCTATTAAGACGGTCCTACTAATTCAAGAAATAAAGGCAATATGGATAAATGGAAACTGATAAACCTCTAATGGGAAAAATTAATACGATAAAGATAGCTGTTGCCCCACAATTTAATTACATCTTTATATAATCATCCGAGTATCTACGGAATGTAAAAAACAAAGAATCAGTCTGAAAAAACTGTGTGCCTCAAGAGATAATGGAGGACTGGCTCTCCCAATTCATGAAATTATATTATTATATTACTATATTATATATTATTATATACATGGAATTATAACATGGCATTTGTGTTAGAAGAAGAAAAGAATAAACTAGCAAGACACTTGGCAAATTATGATTCTAACCCTGGGTAGGTAAAGCAGGAAAAAGTACTTGCAGCTCCATCTAATGTTGTAGAACTATTATCATAGAAGGCAGAAAAAAAAGACAGAAGAAAAAGACCATTTTACAACACTCCAATGGGCATGGGCAAGAGTAAATACAAGTTTGGCAATATCATAAGAAAAACAGAGATACTCTTCCTATGGAATAACCCCTCAATCTGTATAGTGAAAGATCCTTTCTATAGGATAAACGGCAAAAGAAATCCATGTTATCAGTGACCTGTATAGAGATACAGCTGAGGAGCAGTGTGGGTCCTTTCTCTGGGCTAAAGAGGGAAGAAGAAGAAGAAGAAGAGAATTCTCCTGGCATATTACTCTGCATCACTATTTTATAATTTACTGATGCAGATATTAATATGGTTAAGGGATCTTGATAGTGAGATTAGGGAAGATTTATGGCAGGATGTGATCTCAAATGTAGGCTGGGCTAGGGGATGCAAGAAGTAATTTCATCCATTATAAAATTGTAGATATTATCCCATCTAGATTTTATCCTTCATCCCTGAAATTGTCTGAAATTGTTTTAAATGGGCTTAACCCATACATTAAAGGAGCTATTTTTAAGCTTAGCTATTGCTACATATGCAACGTTAGCATTAACACGTGTTTACTTTCCAGTCTTACCAAGAGCTTCAGCAGTGTCTTTATTTTTATTGAGCTATGTCATATTTGTACTATTCGCCTTTTGTCTTTCAGCTAGTGCCTGTAATGAAGCCAGTGGTGGAGCCTGTAGCAGCCTGTAATCTATTTCATGTTTTTGAACTGCTGCACACTTTGGTTCATGCAGGGTGAATAAAAATTCCACTGCATCGCCAGTTTACCTTTCGTGCACCTCTTTTTTCACTTTCCGCAGAATAAAAATGTACATGGAGCTGAATTACATCTGTAAACTGCTCTGTTTCGAGTTGTCCTGTTTTATGACACATTGTCGAATTGGTAAAACATATTCCCACATTGGTTTTTCTTGACTTTTAAAAGTATTCTCTATCTGTGATTTTGTAGAAGTACACAGTAATGTGGCAATAATTGGGGGCTGGGGACGGATGGCTAGGAGGAGGTCTACTGAAAAAGAATAGCTCAGAGCACCTCATTAATAAAAGACGGAAGAAATGAACTTGAACTAGTTCATTTTTGAGGTCTATGAACATAATTCAAAATTTAACTATGAACATTCATTTATTCTGTGTGAATTGAACTTTGAACTAGCTCTTGTGAAGTGTGAACTTGCACAACACTGCCCTTGGTTATCTACACTACACCTGCATTAACTTCTGTTCTCTCAATATTTCAAATGCACTTTAAAACAATGCTGACCTGTCTGCCTAAGATATTACAAAAGTCTTACAACAGCTCAAGAGATTAATTTACTTAATTTAACAATCCAGTATACAGTGTTTTATACCTTCATATAATTTGCAGCAAAATTGAGCACCAATGCATCGAGCGAAAATCCAAAATATTTAACTAATGAATAACATCACTGGTGTAAGCCTAAACCATAATTTCAGTCCAATGAAATATGATGGTGCTGTGTGCTCATTCATATGTAATTATATCAGAGAACTAAATATGCTGATATGGTTAACAGAGGTGCATCTGTGTGGCTGCTTTCTCACCATAGCAGCACTCTTCATGGCGTGGCTGATGACCACAATGACACGTCCTCTGTAGTTCTGGAGGACTCCTGTTGCAGGACACTGCACCAGCTCACCGTCGGGGCTGAACACTGCGTTGAAGGGAATGTTGATGCTGCCAGAAATATGGCCTCTGCTGTAGCTGGAGGCAAGGGAGTTAAGGAACACAGCTTTGAACAGGTACATCGTTTCCTGAGATCGCTGGCCCGCCTAACAACTGCAGTGCACCTTGTTTTTGGTTTTTTTTACCATACAGGCACACCTTAAATTGCTTCATATCAGTTCATGTTTTGTGTCAGTGACACCCCTAATTATGTCAATGACACCCTAATTAGAGTGACTGACTTCCAATACAAGAAGCACTTGAAACAGGTTTCAAGGTAGTAGTATGGGGAGAATAGCTCTGACGGGGGGGAAGGAGGTGGAGGAATAAAAACATAGGAGATACAATAAGGGAGTCAGCAGGAGAAACCAAAGGAAAAAGAGAATGACTAGATCTTAGTGAGAGATTTGCTGGAAAAGTGGTATATAGTTGTATAATAACTCCTGAGAAATTGAGGTTGTCCTATTTCTTGAATTGTAGCTATTGACATTATTGCTGAATATTTCAAGAAAAATGATGCACGACAGTCACATTACTATGATCACTAAAACATACACACAGCTGCTAAACGAACATAAAGAGTCAGGATGTTACATAATGCTGTGTACAGTATAATCCACCAACTGACAAATCCAATTGTGTTACATTTAGCCCTGAAATCACAAGAGGTACATGTCTCTTGTTTTACAGAAGAGAATTTCCACCAGGCACCTAGACAGCTAAATCTAGATTACCCTGATTTCCCCCCACAAAGGTCTTAATTTAATCCACTTTTTGTGACCGCAGACACCCACAACAGAGCTTTGCCTAAGATCACAATAAAGGTGAACATGGGTTGCCAAATCCTGTGAAAGTGGTCAAATCCCTTTTGTCCATGTGTTTTAGCCTGAGGAGCCTGTCTATCAGGAGGCTCCGGTGCAGGAATTTGGCAAGAACAACTGCTTCAAAACTTCAAAATCCTTACTCTATCCACTAATCCTAATTGATTAATGGCTCTTTACCCTCTTAGACAATTACCATTCCACTGATGAGCTGAAGGGTGAGGCTCACTCCTTCTGGTGTGCAGCATTTTTTTTTTTTTTTTTTTTTTTAATAGACAGGGTTTTCTGGGCCACTATATGCCTAGTAATAAATAGAAACTGTCTATCTGCAAGCAAAATTAATTTATGTAATACTGTAATTTTGTGCAGAGCTACTAAAAAGATGGGTAAAGAGGCTAATGAATTTGGCAAGCAGAAGAAATTTCCATTTTTAATCTAAGGAAGTTACAGGGAATGTATTTGGATGGGACCCACATTAAAAATAACTGCCTTGTTTTCATCGTTTTGATCATTTCAGCTAACCCAGTGAGTTTTTTTTTTAATTGGTTATTTAGCTTAAGAAGCATGAGAATTTTCTCAAGCACCCATTAAGGAACACTTGATCCTTCAGTTTTGTCAAAAAAATTTCAAATCACCACTCGTGGAGATACGTGGTTTCCTTTGGAAGGCAAACAAACACACATAATCTACACCCAGTGGTTGCAAAGAGACTCTCCACTTCATATACACAGGTATCGTATTGTTTAGCTTAACAAAGTTTCCTTTTCACATGGCTGTACATTCTACATTAAAATATACTGGTTGTGATTATCGGATGACTGTTACAAGACTAAAGAAAAAGATCAAATATATTATGGAAAAGAGGAAGTTATGGCCAGGAGAATGCATTTTGCTCGGGTCTACAGGCTAATCTCACCTGTTTCTCAGACTGCAGCACGTGGTGGAGCAGCTTGGGTGGGTATGAAGGGCCTAACTGAATGTTGCAGAATCTGGCAGCACATAACTGGAGCAGATCACTCCTCCCGAATCTGCCCATACTTGCCTTTGATGGGAACCAAGCTGTTGTAGTCTCTTTGCTTGTGGTTTGGTTAAAACTCTGGCACCAAGTCAAGAGGTAAGTGAGAGATCAGAGTCACTTTGGGGTAAAGAGAGAGGCTTCTTGCAAGCATGTGCGCAACTGTGTACAATTTTTTTTTTCTTTTCTGTGTGTCATGACCGTTTAACCTTTCTTTTTGTATCATTCATGGGTGAATGGTAACATTAGTTGGTCAGAAATTACAGTTTTACAGTAGAGTACAGAGTTTCACATATCAGACCGGCGTAGATATGGCACAGGCATATCAGATACGAACAAGTACAGACATGCTATAAACACAACATGCATTAATTCAGAAGCAGATTGGTTACAGCTTCTATAGGGACATGACACACCCTCAAGGATTTGGACTCTAACCTTGCAGAATCACTTTGGCACTCTTCAGAGTTTGAACAGTGACAAATCTCTAAAGCTGAGGAGTTTACCTGTATGTGAGCCAGAACATAAATGTCAGTGAGGCTGTTTGCACTGAGTTGTAGTCATTTTCTGTGCACCTGCATTTGTGTTATTCTTGCATGCCTCCACCTCTGAGCCAATACAGGAAAACGTAACTGGAATCAATCACAACACACTGTGAACAGCGGAGAAAGATGGCAGTTTTGTAACTTTACCAAATGACTCCATTTGATTCTACATTCATAAAATCAGTAAGCGTTTTTCGTTCATGTCACCTTCCAACCTACTAGACTAAACAAGACAAAATAGTTTTGTTGTACGTCTTTAAAAGGCACATAGAAATCTGTAAAGAAATAAACGTAGGGTCCAAGAATGCTTCTACTGAATGTCAGAGACCGGCAGTGTTTAAGCATATGAGACTGTCTCCTAACAACAAGCAGCAGCAGCAGCAGTGAAGAATGTGCTGCACAGGAAAAATAACTTTCATACATTGTTTTGATAAAATAGAATATATTTTAAGAGAAGGCTTAACAACAAAAACAACCTGAGGGTAATGTGGGATGGTAACAGAGGGATGAGTAAGATTTGAGGACTTACTATTTTATCATAAATAACAACAAATTAAACAAAAACAGCTCATTAAGCAAATCACAACATTTTCTCAGCACACAGCTAATTGAACAGTACCTGTTAAAGTACTATACCTGTACTGTACGATAAAGTAAGACCGCCGTAGGCAGAATCAGCTCAGTGCCAATTCTGGGCAGCACTGATCACTGCTGCCAAGTGAACATGAAATCTAGACATTTCTAGGCTGGAAGAAAGTACAAGAAACTAGGTACTGTCTGTACAAAGGAGCTGTGTGGTGTTTAACCTAAACCTGTCACTAGCGCAGCATTAAGTGACAGAATTTCTAGAGTTTCTATTATTATTCATGTGATGCAGAGCAAATCACCTGAAGAGCAAAGAGTTTCCCCGACCCACAGCAATTAATTTAGGAGGTAATCCGATGGGTTGATAGTACTGCTACATGATTCAATTCTATAAGCAGCCTAAGGCATAAAAACCCCTGCATGGATCTTATTTAAAGATTTTTTTTTTTTTTTTTTTTTTTACAGCCTCTGACACAATGTAGCCTGTAAATTTCCAGTGATATTTTTAATGCAAATGATTTTATTTTTCAGCTCCTTTAGAGTCAGTCTTCATATTTCCCTTACTTCTCTGGGTATGGGAGCTGGGTTGTGTCTATTAAAAGTGTTGTAAAGCAGCCAGACAAAATACTGATGTGCAGGAGATTTGCACACACACACCTGTTGTTGCACCAAACACGTTGCACACAGTAGTTCTCTTATTGCCTGACATATTTCACACATTAACTGTAACAGCAAGACATAACCAGAATCTATGTCATCACTGCCAATCCCCACATGGACCCTGAAGAATTCAGTCAATATTTTTATTATATCATTGTTTCCCATTGTTTTCTTTCAGAATTTCATTCATTTTTATTGTCTGTACTATATCCTTACTGCAGACAAACGCCCTCTGCTGTACAGTAACACCAGATTTGCCATTCACTGGCAAGTGAACTGACCCAGCCTCTTTTCAGTTCAGTCAGACTGAACACTGGCATCCAGAAAATACTGTTTGTTTATATTGTTTTCAAGCAATGTTGTGTATGTTGTCTTTGATAAGAGGCTGTATAATTTACAACTTTGTGGAATGCTGCTTTTAACCATGTAGCCGTGCTAGCCCCCATCATTAATATTTACATCATACCCACATCACATACTGTCTCGTCAGCCTGAGATTTTCACTAAGTATCACCACCAGAAAGCTTCAAGTTGGAGCGTGTTTGCTGACATAAATTTTACTGTAACAATAGCCTTGCCTTTAACTGTCAGTGCTACAGAAAAAAAATTGTTCCTTTGGTTTTGTGTGACACAATCCAAGGTTGATTAAACAAGCTTCACCATCTGCGAAGCTGACAAAACAAAAATTGAGCAATGCACTCATATCTTCAAATGTAATCAAAGTTAAGATGAAGAGGTGACAGACTGACAGGTTAAGTTTCGTAGCTACACAGAAATGGTAAGGATACTCCTCTACACTGCGGATGTCGACAGCAACAATTTTGGGCTTGCCAGCTTTGGTTCGCTTGGTGGGCCCAGTCAGTGACAGCTCACAGAGGTCAATTAAGTCCTCAGCCGAGATCCTGGGCGATACTTCTGCTTTCAGGTCACACAGCGCCAGAGGCTCCCGGGACTACAAGAGAGGAAGTCACAGGAGATCAGATGAAGAGGGAGAAAATTATAGTGCAGGCTTTCAGAGAATTTCTGAACATAATTTGAATAATGGAATTTGGAAAAGTAATCACTAAAAAATGACACAAGAGAGACAGAAAGAATAGTGTCGGGTTGGATATTATAGTTTCTTTAAAACCAGGAGACAAGTAATTAGGCCTGAATGTCATCTATGGGAACTAAATCTCCTATGTATTAAATATATATTTGACACCATCCTTTAAAACAGTTTGTCCCAGTAACTCGGAAGAAAATTTCATTATGTATTACTATACAAAAAAAGCAGTATTACAGCTGAGAAACCACAGCAGATGACCAGCAGTATTGGCCAGAACATGATCTGTTGCCAGTGTCCACCTGCACTGCCAAATGAGTTCATTAAACCAACCAACCCCAGGCATGGCTGCAGGGGACTAAACCAAGGTCCGCATTGGTGAGCAAGTGTTATACCTCTGTGATTTCCAGATGCCCTGGAATCATTTCAATCATAACATGTAAAAAAAAAAAAAAAAAAAAAAAAAAAAAAAAAAAACCAAACAAGATGATGACAGTTTTTCCCAAGTCCCCTCCAAAAAAAAACCCTAACAAACAAATCTATTGTGTTAATGACTGGTTATTTAGCAGCCTGGTATTTCTCTTCATTTATATGCAAATTAAATAGGTGAGAAATGCTAACAGCATTATCTATGAATTTCAGCACACTGTGTGAAAGGCATTTATAGAACAGAGAAAGGCCAACTGCACGTCGAGTAGGTTAAGTGCCAAGGCTCTGCCATCCATGAAATAAAATGTTTGAAAGCAGCTAACTCCACTGGCTAGCTGAACAATCTTCCGCCCACCCAACAGTGAAGCAGAAGTCAGTCGTCCAGAGTCCAGAAAGGATTTACATTTTTTTTTTTTTTTTTTTTTGGACAAGAATTGTAACAATGTAATGTAACAATTTTGTGCACTTGAGCTTGTGTCCTGAAATCCAGGTATTAGCACAGTGTTTTTTAATCATCTTACAGTGCACAATGTTGCTCATTTACACATTCCTTTACTATATAATAAATATTTAGCCCTCCAAGTGAAGTTCTAATAACTTACAATACTGTACACAGTGGTGGAAAGTACTAAGTACATTTACTCAAGTAGTGTGCTTAAGTAGTTTTTTATAGTCTTTCCATTTTATGCTTCCACTCCACTAACCAGAAACATTGTACTCTTTACTCCACCAGGATTTTACATCTAAACATATGATCAGCTTATGTATGTCAGCATGATGTATTGCTGTGGATTAAACTGCCCATACAGCAGTTTATACACTGTTGATTTCACTGCATAAACATTTGTTCTAGCCACCGGCACACACTGCTGATCATGATATTTAAAGTCTATTTGTAAGTTTTCTCTGCGTTTTCTCTATGTGTGTTTTTTTTTTTTTTACCAGGGCAGTGGTGGTGATTGTCGCTTGCCAACAGCTTTGGCCATCGTTGCGTTTACAAGACAAGAGTTTATAATACACCCTCCCTCTGAGCCACGCTACATCCTCAGGGCAGATTAGAGGCTACAGTGAGTCACTATTGGATAGTGACGACACCGGGCAGGGGCTAGCTGGTTGGTGTGTTAACTTCCGTAGAAGAAAATACAAGATAAGGACAAGCGTTAACTTCAGCTGCTACTGTAAACATTGGTTTGCGTAGAAATAGCAAAACTTACTTATAGTCCCTTTGATTAATTGTTGTCTCCATCTCTAATTCTTCTGTATAGTTTAATTTGAGCAAAACATTAACCCATATACAGAATGAGTAAATTACTCTAGGTAATTACTCTATCATATCAACTTAAGTAGTACAATATCTGAAACAAACCCTTCCAATGAAGTGTAAAAAACAAGTTTTGTTCCTCTAGCCAAAATCATATAGTGGTGGTTATTTGACTCACACTGTCAGTCTTGCATACTCTGACTGCAGGGTTTTACTGAGGCCTTATTCTGAGTACATCTGAAACAATTTCTTTCTTTGTAAAGCTTGGCTGTAGGCTGAGACAAGAGAGGTGTAAAGCTGTTACATTTCCTCTTTCAAATTTTCTCAAACAATTGGGTTTTTGTTTCTGCTTCTATTAAATATTCAGAGTCTGATTATTTCAATAGGTAACTGATTTTCAGCTGTGATCACGGCAAAATCTCTTGTCTCTACTCTCTGCAGTAATCATTTGTATAGATGTGTCTAAAGGGTGCAGCCTCACTGTGCTGCATCAACACAGAGTCAGAAAGGGATTTGAGGAGTGTTGCATCTTTTTCACCAAACAACTTTATTCTGCTCTCTTGAATTATCTACAGACAGCTTGACAATAGTTATTCTAGGCAACACGAGAGAGCTCAAGCAGAGCTGGGATCTACATATTCATGATGTCTTACTGCCATGACCAACAGTTTGGTGTGCTGCTGAGAAAATGTCACTCACCTCTGGGATTTTCTTTCTCAACTTTCAATCTCATGTCTAACAACTGCTGACAAGTAAATACATACTGCGCCACGTTGATGCAATACATCAGCCCTGCAATAAATACTACCATACACATAATGTTCACTTTTTGTCGAGCCTACCACGCAAGTTGTTTGAGTTTTAAATCAGTACCATGGTATGTTTGATACTTTGTTTTGGTGGAATACTGAACTATATTTTATTGACAGTTGGGTCCAATATTTTGTCCACCTCATTGACACATATGGAGATGCAAAAATATTAGAAACACCTAACAGCAAATTGTTTAGCTGACATGATAAGCCATCCACATCCTGATGCATCTTGTGCCTAAACAATAGCGACGCTTAAATAAATGGCATTTGCTGCTCTAAATAGTTTCTTTTCTCTGAAAGCTGATATTTTATTTTATAAAAGTTTTCTTAAATGTTTATGGACTTGATCTTTGTTTCAGGCCATGCCAACGATAAAACACAATGGAAACCCTGAATATAACACAGTGAAACAAAAACCACTATAAAATACACAAGCAAATTTCCCATGGAGTCATTCTACACCTCTACATCAAAGTGATAATACGTTTCAAATAGGCAGCATTTATTACATCACTGACATCACAGTGTGCATGTCAATCCCAGATTTCAGCCCTGCTGCTGACATGCTGCTGTGACACTAACTGGTCCTGACTTTGATGGCTACAAGAAAATAATGGGAAAAGACAGAGATTTCATGGCAATGCCCTTTAAAAAATGTAATTGTAATAAGGCATGGTTACAGTGTTACAATCAGAGAAGTATGTCTAAACCAGCTTAGACATACTTGATCAGGTGCCGCGAAAACTATGAAGAACTTGAGAGTAAACTGGGATGTGACTGCCAAAGAACACACCTGCTCTACACACCCAGTAAAAGCCGCCTGTGTAGACAAGCTGTAGACTCCAGCTCTAGACTGTAGCTTGCAAATGTAAAAAACAGTAAGGTGATTGATGTCTTTCATTTACTGTTTTGTTTTCTGTCTGTTTTGACACTTAATGCATCTTTCACTTGTCAAAGAAACCCTTTAACGGAAACCACAGGAAGAGGAACTGGGGGGGGGGGGATCCCTCATGCAATTGATGCTGTGTGTATACTTCAATGCAAGTTTTATCAAAAAACAACCATTCCTACATCTTTTTCAAATGATTTCCTTATATTACACAGCACCATTTTATTTATTCTTTTTTCAGATATGGTAAAGGCAATGAAAAAGACTTTATTTCATTGCTTCACAAATCTAAAGAAACAATTCAAGCGAGACTAGCAGGCTAAAAGAAAACAATGAATCTCCACAGAGATAACTTAGCATGCTTGAGCGATAGATAAAATGACATGCTACATGGTAAGTGATTTGAATACATTTTCAATTTGTCAGCGTAGTGTAAGTGCTATTTACATACTGTCACTGTAAACACATGTAAACTGAAATTAATAATTTTCTGCATGATGACACTCTCCAGCAGCAGCAAGATATAAATGAAATGTTCAAAACTGAACAAATTAACAGGCTGATCAAAATTATAAAATGGCCCAGCAACTACTCAACAGTAAATGGGCATGTTTTTGTATTTTTGTTATACAGTAAATATCTAATAAAATATTATGAATATGAGTTTGAAATTATGAATTATCAAAATATCTGAATATTTTCTCATTCTGGCCTTGCTGCTTTTCAATTTACATTTTACTGCACAAATGCAGAGGTCATGGTTGAATTTCATGGGATCCAGGGATACCTGGGCTCTCTTTAAAGATACCTAAGTGTCCTCGATAGCACTTACTTCTGGTAAGTGAAGGTTATTTCAATTCCAAAGGGATCACATTGGCACCACATTGAATGTGAAAGGGTAGTTTGGTTTTGGACAAGATAGAGTTTGTGTGTGTTCAGCTGGGTCTTAACCTCCTGAGCTGACAGGGCTTTTCACTGTGATGAGCCACAATTACAGCAAGTCCTGTTGACTCACACACATGCCAGTTTATGGCTGAAGCAATGGTGCATGCAGCTGTTTTCATGCGTGTATGAATAATCACTGGAGTCACACACTGTAGCGTGCTAGGTGTAAAGATGTTGGTCGATATAAAATGCAATCTGCTTCTTGTCTCATGCAGGCAGGTACTCCAGATAATGGGTAAAGATAGGGTAAAAGACAAGAAGGGGTACAATAAGAACAGGTATTTACTGATAAGTAAATGCGTACTTCAGTTTATTGTTCAGTGACTCTTGTGACCTGTATATGTTGCTCAGCTTTTGTCTAAATAAACACTAAACAGACAAAAAAAGTGGTGAAAATGGCAGAGTGGGTCCGTCAGTCTGCCTTTAAGGAACACTTTTTAAAGATTACACTAGAGTAAAAGGAAAAGCCTTTTAAGTACATGGTATGCACTTAGCAAAAGACCATGGTTGTGTCTGAAATCACTCACTCATTCATTACTCCTTATTCACCATCTAGGGAGTCCTGTGT